TTGTATGACCAACTTAGACCCATATGAGAACGTTTTGATTACGTCCTCTTTGTAACGTTGATATGTGACCATAAGATTACCATTATGGAACGTCCCCCTAAAGTCATTTAAGGAACGTTGAACTGCAGCACTTTCATTACCAAAAGAGGATGTTTCAGGAACGTCCCTAATGTTCTGTAAAAGTTCGGAATGTTCGTCACCTTTAGATAACTTTTACGAAACGTTACCAATGGTCGCGGGAACGTCACCTTCTACCTGGGTTAGCCAGGGCAGCATACCTCCAAATACTCCATGGTGTTGATGGATGCTGATGAGACGGGCGCGTTCACTGAAAATCTGGTGCACACGCACGGACGAGCATGAACTCGGGATATGGAGTATCCCGAGTTCATATGGACATACCCTCCACCCCTCAATTTTGACAGAGAGAGCAAGTTGACTGATATGTACACTTCAAGCTGCTCCATATACCACAATGCAACACAATTGTGATGTCACAGCAGATCACGCCTAACTTACTCCCATCCCACATCATAACTGTTTCGAAACACTTGATCTCTGTCAACCCATGAATCATGACGAGTCACTGAGAACCAATGAACAAGTGTCTGTGGGTTTTACCTGATATCTGATCAATTTTATACATTTGAAGACGTTTTAATTAGACATTAATATAATTAAAATGAATAATGGTAGTTAATTGTCTCAGCCTTTTTAGCTGAGCCATTCATAGAACAAACAAAACAAACCCTGACAATTGATAAAAGAACATATAGACACTTGATAATATTATTAAGTCAGTCAAGTCAAGTCACATTCATTTATATAGCGCTTTTAACAATATAGATTGTTTCAAAGCAGCTTTACAGTGATAATAGACAATTACAGTAACAGAGATTATTTTGGCTTTACAGCAGCTCTAGAATAAAGTTATTGTCCAGCTAAAGTTAGTTTTGATTGATTCACTTCCATTGCACGACACCGTTCTAACAGAAAATGCTCAGTGCGCTCCGGCCCGCTCATCCGCACAAAACAGTGCCTGGTGTCTCGAGAACGCAAACCCTGAAATAGATTCCAAGGTGCAAGCCTTGAAATTTTTAAAAAAAAATGTTATCTCTGTGCAAACCTCAAAAACACAAACCCGTGAAAACGCCAACAGCGTGCACAGCCGCATCACGTGTTTAGTCTATAGGGATGCACGTTTGTGTAGTCCTTCTTTACAAACCAACCCTCAACAAACTACTTGTCTGGCCTTAAAAATTTATAATAAAGAATTAATTTATCACTTCCGCCTAGCCACGTGAACCAGAATTACCCGACAACGTTTTTTCTGTACAGAGCAGTGGCGGCTCCTGGTCTTTCAAAGAGGGGAAGCTCATTTTCGTCCTACATCATAAAAATTGTCCATTTATTTATACAAATACCAAGAAATAAGTTGCAGCAGTTTGTCTTTCGACTACACTAGCAAAATCCGCGATGGGACTGAGCTCGAATAGCTTCAGAGTCAGCGACTTTTTATTGTACAAAATCGCTGTCAATCAAAAGGAGATGCAGCCTTTCGACAGACCCTCCAATCATCACGCAGAAGCCGGAGTCCAGGCCAGCCCACTCCTCCATTCACCCCAGAGACGCTGAGCGTCCGTGGGCGGGACATAATCGCAGCATTTATCCAATGACCGTCTAGTTTCGAAGCACTGAAAAAAACTGTTCAAAGCAGCCCAATTGAAGTCAGTGGACGCTCGGCTTTAACAGGAAAATGCACTGTGACGCTACGGGAATGTATGAGAAGGAAATCGAGTCAGCCGACCTGCTATATGGAGCTGATTCTGAACGAACTCGTCTTCGAGATGAACGTGTTCTAACGCATTTTTAGTCAATAAAATGTTAACACAATAGTACATATTTGACCATAATTTTTTTGATATTGTAGGGGAAGCCGAGCTTCCCTTGCAGTCTTAAAGAAATCCCCACTGGTAAAGAGGTAAATGGAAGGGAGGGAGGCCTTCACAGGGGAGAGACTAGTTGACACTTCAGGACTGCGTTGTCGTCGTGTCTAGGCGCTGGTCCTTCGTCAGATCTGGATACGGCCTGGATCCGGCGGACTGCGGTAAACCTCGAGATAAACAGAGAGATTAATATTAGCGTAGATGCCATTCTCCTTATGATGTAACAAGTACATCAGGATTTATGGGAAGTGTTCCCGGTTCCGGCTGATCTAAACTATGCAGCCTAACATTGAATTATAGAAGTCTATAATGTATTATGTGTATGCTAGGTCAAAGTGCAGTTAGGGTTAGGGTTAGTCTAGTTTTTAGTCTAGCTTTGAACTGACAGAGTGTGTCTGCTTCCCGGACAATGTTAGGAAGATTGTTCCAAAGTTCAGGTGCTAAATAGGAAAAGGATCTCCCGCCAGCAGTCGATTTAGATATTCTAGGTATTATCAACTGGCCGGAGTTTTGAGATCGCAATAGACGTGAAGGACTATAATGCGTTAAGAGCTCACTCAAGTACTGGGAGCTAAACCATTTAGTGCTTTGTAAGTAATTAGCAATATAAAAAAAATGTATAGGATGTTTAATAGGGAGCCAATGCAGTGTTGACAGAACCGGGCTAATATGGTCATACTTCCTGGTTCTGGTAAGAACTCGAGCGGCTGCGTTTTGGACCAGCTGTAGTTTGTTTATTAAGCGTGCAGGGCAACCACCCAGTAGAGCAGGGATAGGCAACGTCGATCCTGGAGTGCCGCTGTCCTGCAGAGTTTAGCTCCAACCCTAATCAAACACACTGAGCAAGCTAATCAATGTCTTCAAGATTACTAATGCTAAAGGCAGGCAAGTTTATATCAGGGTTGGAGCTAAACTCAGCAGGACAGCGGCACTCCAGGATCGACATTGCCTATCCCTGCAGTAGAGCATTACAATAATCTAGCCTTGATGTCATGAACGCATGAACTAACTGTTTCGCATTCGTCAATGAGAGCATATGGCGTAATTTAGATATATTTTTAAGATGGAAAAATGCGGTTTTACAGATACTAGACACGTGACTTTCAAATGAAAGATTGGTATCAAAGAGCACACACACACACACACAGGTTCCTAACCGACGACGAAAACTTGACAGAGCAGCCATCAAGTGTTAGACAGTATTCTAGGTTATTATGTGAGGACGTTTTTTGTCCAATAATTAGAATCTCTGTTTTTTCAGAATTAAGTCGTAGGAAATTACTAGTCATCCAGTTTTTTATATCAGCTATGCATTCCATTAATTTTGGAATGTGTGTGTGTGTGTGTAGCATGTACAGAGTGTGTGTGTGTGTGTGTGTGAGGGTAGCATGTACAGAGTGTGTGTGTGTGAGTGTGAGTGTGTGTGTGTGTGTGTGTGTGTGTAGCAAGTACAGAGTGAACAGCAGTGGTCCTAGTACTGAGCCTTGTGGTACGCCATACTGAACTTGTGATCGATAAGACATCTCTTAATTTACTGCTACAAACTGATAACGGTCAGATAAGTGTGATTTAAACCATGCTAATGCAATTCCACTAATGCCAACATAATATTGAGTCTATTTAAAAGAATGTTGTGATCAATAGTATCAAATGCAGCACTAAGATCAAGTAACACTAATAGAGAGATACAACCGCGATCGGATGATAAGAGCAGATCATGTGTGACTCTGATGAGAGCGGTCTCAGTGCTATGATCCGGACTGGAAATCCTCGCAGATATCATTTCTTTCTACAAACATTAGATGATTGCGTTTTAAAGATTTTACTTTCAGTAAAAAATTTGCAATATATTTGTAAAAGGTGTTTTTGTTGCATTTACACTGTTCTGAGCACTAGCGGTCACCGTGGAGACGGGTGTTGGATAGTTTCGAAGCCTCGACACAATACGGCACATTTGCTTCAACTGTTTCAGTGTTCCACGAAGCCTCGATCTGCCCACCACTAGGTAACACTATGCTTAAACAGGGGTTCCCAATGCTGTTCCTGGAGCTCCAACTAGGGATGGGCAAATGATGCCTCAAGAAGCACTGAGGCGTTCCCCTGAATGTTTCGGATAAAGATTCGAAGCATTAAGAGTGTCGAAAACATCACCATCTTGTGGCAGGTCAAATTTATAGCAGCCATGTTTAGTTACAGGAACAGCATTGTTAGTAACATGTTGAACATATATTAACATGCTAACAATTTAAGAAATGTTAGTACCATGCTAAAACACACTAGCAACATGGTAGCAATGTGCTAAAGCATGCTATCTATCTATAGCTGTCACGTTTTGAGTTTATTTGTTCATGTTTAGAGTTTGTTTTTATCTCTTTTTCTGGTCTGTTCATTTCCTAGTTAATCTTCTAATCTGTTAATTGGTTCAGTCTTCCTCCGCCCCGTCTGTTGGTCTCCTTGGTTACAGATTTGATCAGAGTCCTTAAGTCAGGTGTGTCTAGCTAGTTTCATTCTTCGTTTTTCCTTTTCAGAGTATTTAAGCCCTGTGTTTAGTCCTGTCTAGTTGTCTGTCGTAGTCACTATTTACTGGTTGTGATGTCCTTGTTTTTGGTATTTCTAAGAAGCCTTAGTATTTTTGTTAGTTTGATTTTGTTTTCAATAAAGACTGCTGCATGAAGATCCAGTATCATCTCTGCTGCCAGCAGCCTGTGACAATAGCCAACATCAAAGTTTCATTTTCAGGGCAATATTAGAGCTTGAGTCGAGTCTCATGCTTCAGCCCTCCATCATGGACAGCGAGACAAATTTGTTTACCCTCATTCCACTGAAAGAGTATATTAACATGTGAACATTCGTGATACAATCACTTTCTGTTCCTGTGTGTGCAGAATTATAGCTTCTGTCATGAGTATGTAAACATATGACATTACAATGTATTACAATTGTAAAAGCATTGGTATAAAAATATTTTGTGAGCATTGCTACAAACTGTAACATATATAATACTAAAATCTATGCTTTTGGATTGAAATGTTGCTTTAATTGTGACCTGTACAGGCATCACAGAAGGCCAGCAAGAGAAATGCAGCACGAAACAGAGCCATACAGAAGAAGCAAGAGCAGATAGAGGAGGTAAATTGATTTGTGTTTGTGTGTGTGTGTAGTCAAGGTATTCCCAATGTTGTACTATAGCTACCAAATGTCCTGAAAAAACGACCACAAAAAAAGTTGAGAATGTAATGTAAAAATGCAGAGAGGTTTCTGTGATGATTAGGGTCTAGGCCCGGGATAGACCATACAGTGTGTACAGTATAATGGTCACTTAATATGGTTACTTTCACACACAGTTAGGTTATTATTTACAAAAGAGACAACCCCCTTTTTGGCAAACCCCTGCTGTGTGAACAGAACCACAATGGAAAACAAGTTGTCTGTTCGAGAGACACACTCACGTCCACTGCGTGTTTAATCTGCATCAAGCCTTCCTTACGGAACAAAAATACATGGGAATATACTGCAAAATATTGACCATGTATGGCTATATATTAATACATATAAAATAATTATAAATGAAAACAAAAATAGCTTTACATGTAATATTCACAAAGTTTTATCCTTTATTGTGTACATATATTGCACACACGTTCCCATTTAAATGTGAATGTGTGTTCACACACACACACACACACACACACACACACACACAAATATATATATACATATATATATACACACACATTCACGGAATGAGTTACTACAGATTTCTAGTACCCAGCATGCTTTGCTTCTGACTGTTAAAGGAGAGTAAATGTTAAGATTAAGTGTTATTTGATGTGTTTTGCTCAATATTAATATAGGGGGAGATCTGGGTGTGTTTAACGCTCTATTATTTTGGAATGTAAAAGTTTTTCTTTTAAAGTTTTTGGGGTTACCCTTGTGCTGAAGAGTCGAGCCTGTGCTTCGGTTGATGATTGGCCAAATGTTATTAAGACTATAATTACTATATATTAAAAGTAATAACTGTGCTCTCCGCAGTACAGGCATAGTCTCTTGGCTAAATACTTTAGTACATGCTGGTGTGCTTGTGCTTTTGGTAACTAGCTTGAAGATATGAAATGTTTGTAAATAATTAAAAAATATAAGAAATATATTACATTATATATTTCTCTGTGTGTTTATGTTGCATGGGTAAATATCTGTATCTGCAATATATTACACATGCAGTGCCATATCAGATCGCACATACATCTTTATGTAATGAAGTGTATCACTGAATGTAAAATTACATACATTATGATATATTAGTGAATATATTGTCACATATTTTTCAATATATGAAAAGCGGCAATTCCTTAAGCATTATTCAATATATTGTAATATATTAACACAATATATTATGTATATTTTAAAATATACTGTTTAAACATTTAATATATTGATCATTCATATATGAGAAATATAATTTTGTTCCGTAAGGGCTAACAGACCGTGTTTAAAGGGTTAGTTCACCCAAAAATGAAAGTTCTGTCAGTAATTACTCTCCCTCATGTTGTTCAACCCCGTAAGACTGTCGTTCATCTTCGGAACACGAATTAAGATATTTTTGATGAAATCTGAGAGCTGGATCACTCCTCCATAGGCTTCTTCAGGGATTGAACTTGCCGGCCTCGAAAAGTTATTAAAGACATCGTTAAAATAGTCCAAGTGACTACAGTGGCTCAATCTTAAGCTTATCAAGCGACGAGAATACTTTTTGTGTGCAAAAACAAACAAAAATAACGACTTTATTTCAACTATTCATTTCCTTCTCTTTGGGCCACGAGTCAGTTAACGTAGTGTGATTCCGTAGAGCTACGTCACACGCAGGCTCACTATTGGCCGACGCTGGTCATGTGCGTGATGCGTGTGACGTACAACAACAGAAGCTTACGCTATTACACTAGTGAACTGACTCTCGAGGCGCACAAAAAGCGCACAAAAAGTTTTCTCGTCGCTTGATAAACTTAAGATTGAGCCACTGTAGTCACTCGGACTATTTTAACGATGTCTTTCATAACTTTTCGAGGCCGGCAAGTTCAATCCCTGAAGAAGCCTATGGACGAGTATGGAGGAGTGATCCAGCTCTCAGATTTCATCAAAAATATCTTAATTCGTGTTCCGAAGATGAACGAAGGTCTTACGGGGTTGGAACAACATGAGGGTGAGTAATTACTGACAGAATTTTCATTTTTGGGTGAACTAACCCTTTAAAGCAGTGTGTAATGTCTGTGATGCTCCCTGCATTGAATGTATTGTAACAACGTGTTGTTTGCGGTGTTCAATGTGAATCACAGCAAAAATGAGTGAGGAATATGTACAAGTCAAGGATTAAAGCGTTTATGTCAGTCTATCATTCTTATACACAGCCCTTTGGTTCCGGTTTCCGACCGACCCTGTCAATTTATGTGCGACCAAAATGTATTTTATGAGCTTGGGGAAGAAATAATACAAATTAAATAAATACTCAAATAAAAAACTTTGAGGCGAACTATAATTTACGTTTTTGTACAGCACCGTATTTGTATAGCACTCTTGCGATGCAAGATGCCTGTTGTCCTCCAGCAATGCTAACAAACGAGGCGAGTAGTGTTTTTCTTCCACACAAAACTTTGGCGCTGCTCCTCCTGGACAGTTTGTCACACACCCCTGAGTGAGGCGTCCGCGTTTCCATTACCCTGCAAATTGTGCAAATTGAAATTGCGAATTGAAAATACGCACAATGGAAACACGTCAATTTCGCAAAAACTCTCGTTTATCGCAAAAAAGTTTTTACGCTCGCATGAGGGTTTTTTTCAGGCAATTCGAAGTAAGGGTTAATGCCCAACGCGGTGTCCATTGTCAGGTATTAACGGACGACGGCGAGGCGTGAACCGGCCGACGTGCAGCGGAGTCCAATAATACCCAGACAATGGACACCTCGAAGGGCATTAACTCGCTTATACCATGGTCACTTGCCAAATAACACATTTTTAAAACACTAGTTTATATTTTAATTAGTTTTACAATCGAAATCTACAGTTTTTACAAACAATAACTTGGTTTCCCTGGTTACGCCTGACGGTTTATTTAGCAACCGGAGATATTTCACTCAGCTCGTAGAACCCTTGAGTTTAGCTAACTTACGAGCCAGAAAGTTAATGTATTTTTTTTCATGTAAGTTAGGCTTGTCTAGCCATGGGTGTTACACTTTCGGGTTTTTTAAACCTATAATTAAAACACACAGGTAGGCATAATTACGGCTAACTAGATGTTTGTTTTGATACAATAAATTGTAAACGGATACTTTGACTGCCTGTTGCTATGGTTACTCACAGCTGTTGTAGGCAGCGCATTTATTTATTAATTTTGAACGGTAAACAGTCAGTTTCACCAGAACTCCTTTACTAGGTGTCCTCTATCACTTTTTAATGGAGACCCTGCAGCCAATCAGAATCGAGTATTCACCCAGACCATGGTATAAAAAGGAATATTTCACAAAACTGCAATGGAAATTTTACAATACAATGCGCATTTACAGTCACCTAACTTAGAAGACGTGGTGTGTTTGGGGTCCGTGTACACAAATAATAATAATAGGCTAATTATTATAACATTTATTAGGGTAGCTACATATTTAGAAGACGCTTTTATCCAAAAAAAGGAACAAAGCAATTCGTCAAATGTCATTCATAACACAGGTTGGACAATAATAATACAGGGCTAAGATTATCACAAATAAACACAAGATTTTGACGCATATAGAATAGAATAGAATAGAATGAGGCATTTATATAGCACTTTCAAATGTACTACTGTACACCCAAAGCACTTTACAATCATATCAGGGGTTCTCTCCTCAACCAGCTCCAGTGTGAGCATCCACTGGGATGATATCCATATCCAAGTGTGTGTGCGGAGTGTGGAGCGCGACTGCACGGCACGGAGGCGCGGGCGCGAACACTTGCATTTTCCTATCAACAGTGGAGACAACTTAAAATTCTCGATCATTTCTGGTCATACAGAAAATAATAATACATTATTCGCAACTACTTTTATTTGCGTAAACTCACAATAACAAGAAAACGTTGTGCTTTTGTAACATAAAATAAAACAATCAGGTGCGGTTTCATGATCTCCGTGAACAGGGGCGCGAGAACTGAAACAAAATATAGCCTATGTACGTTACTGTTGGCTAAAGCTTGAAATGTCCACTTTAAAACGAACAAAGCTAATACCTTCTGATTATGTAATCCATATGGAAGGTGCATTTCTCTCTAAAGGTGGATCCGCCTTACAGCGGAGGTGGAGAAATGTTTTAGCCGCGGCGAGCAGGACGAGGTCGAGGGCCGTGCGAGGCCGGTGGCGTGATTACTGATGAGCGACGCACCGGTGTCGTATCTCTCACGGAGGAGCGGGAGCATAAAAGGAGGAGCGACGACAGTGGAGGTCGAGACCGGTGCGTCGCTCATTAGTAATCACGCCGCCGGCCTCGCGCCGTCCTCGACCTCGTCCTGCTCGCCACACCGATATTTAGAAAACAATAGTTTATTAATAAACAATTAAAATGCCTCGTTATTTTTTCAGACACATTTATTATCATTAGCCTATAGCTCACCTATAAATCACCCATAGGCTATGATAAAATAGAGTATCCATCGCTACTGTAAAGTAAAATAAAAAATAATAATAATAATAATTTCTTACCTATGATATCCCTTGCTGCCACTGGAGAAAAACCCCCCCAAAAAACAATTCCCTACCGACCCATGACCTCAGCTGACAACCAAACTTTTTTTTTATGCCTAATGAGAATAAACACCAATATATATTTCTAGATTTTTTTTCTTGTTAGTACACCAATAATGCAGACGATCATTTAACCGTGAAAGGCAGAAACTGTGATCACGTTAATATATGATTAATTGTGTAGCATTAGTCACTCTGCTAGTCTGCATGTCCATTCCGTGACAATTAGTTCAATAATCTACCGAAAATGAGCAAAACAATGGCAACAAAAGCATTCTGTCATGGAGGAGTCTCTGCAGATGCACCATAGACTGGAATGTAAAATGAATGTAGTGAAGGTTCGCCGGGTGCATGAGGAGTGAGGCCGGGGGTGTGAGCGAGAGACAGAAGTGGATTTGTGAGCATGGATTGAACTCCACTTTCCTCCACTCCACTCATCTACAGGATTCTGCGTACTAGAGAGGCTCGGCGGGCCACAGAGAGCCTGTACACATCCGTCATGCATTCTAGCTATTGTAGAAAATCATCTGCATATTACATGCATACAGAAAATTCACATCGTTTTCACAGCAAAACATGCAGCAGAAATAGCAAGAGTAGTGCTATTCTGAATATAGTTTTATTTTGAGACCTGTTGGTAAGTTTGTGTCTTCAGTGAGTTACACAAGTTAAATCTAGCTCTATTATATGGTGTGTTTTCATTGTAATCATAGTCATTCATTCTATTTTCAAGAAACTGCACAGCAGAGCTCATGATGCGATGACTCAGATACATGCGGAATGGTAATTTAAGCCCGCAGCGCACACACAGAGACACGCTATCTCTATGGTTACCACGGATGAGGCAGTAGGTGCTATTTTGAAGTGATCCGATAAAAGCTAGCAGCTCAAACACACATACAATCCTAGAGTTTCTACAAGACTGCCTGCTTCTCCACACACCAATAATAACGGTTTTAGCAAGGGTGAAATGCATATTATTTAATCATTTTTCTCTTAGCAATATAGAAATTCACATTTATTGGCATTTGTTGTTTTATGTAACCTTTTATGTAATGCTTTTATGTAACCCTGATCAAACGTTCTCTAAGGCAAAACCACATATATATATAATTTGATCAAAAATTTAAAGTAGATTTTTATATTTTAAGGAAAATACTGTTTGCCTGAGCAAAATGTCTTAATTTACATAATTTACAATTATCGCTCCATTTTTCTGGCTGCTCTCTCAAGGGCCTGAGTGTGCTCGTTGTACCTCTACGTTGGACTATTTTCTTTAATCTTCTTTAAGTGCAAAGGAGCAACTATTTCTAAAGTGCTGGGGGGAAAAAAGAGTCAAACGTTTCTGTTGCAACATCGAGTTCTTCTAAGCCACATGTGTCAAACTCCAGTTCCTGTCTGGAAGTTTCTAGTAATCCTGAAGAACTTGATTAGCTGGATCAGGTGTGTTGAATTAGGGTTGGTGCTAAACTCTGCAGGGCTGTGGCCCTCCAGGAACTGAGTTTGGCACCCAGTGGTGTAGCGGACGGGCACACAGGGCACGCACTGCGGACGGACCCTGCGTGGTGGGGGGGCCCCCAAAAGTATGACGCAAAATAAAATAACTAAAGCTTTTTTATGACGTGACTAAAGCTTTTTTAACCATCCCTGTCACTGTGGCAAGTGGCGACAGGTCTTTTTCTAAACTGAAACTAATAAAAACCTGCCTGAGAAGGACAATGAGCCAGGACAGACTTTCCAAACTTGCGATTCTCGGTATTGAGAGCCAGCGCGCACGTCAGATGGACATTCAGACATTGTGAGGGACTTTGCTCACAAAAATGCTAGGAGAAAGGTTCGTTTTGGCTATTTTAAAGGTGAGATGCTTTATTGCATTCCTTCTCAAGATTCAATGAGTCAATTAACTTTTTATAGGTAACTTGAATGTAAAAGATTGTCAAAAACACGTTCAATCCCTGTTTGTAATAGACAAATTCATTGTTATATCGATAGCAGATTTCCAGACATAGTTTTGACGCCAGATATACCTGTTATCTTGCATTTTAACATGTTATTATAAGGTTGTTTTATTGTTGGTGTTTTTTTAAGAATCTGAAAAGTTCTTTATGAATAAAATGAATGAAATGCATTAAATATAGTCTATAGTAAATGCCATGCCACTGGTACACCATTGTGAAGGAATCCCACTTATTTCATTTCGCGTGAGGGGCCCCGCCTCCACTCTTGCGGGGGGCCAACACAGTTTTACCATCCCAGGAGGCATGAATACCATCTCTTTTTAACAGGTCAGGTCTGCATCAACAAATTGATAATAATCTCTGTTATTCTGCGGACACCACTTGGACAGCCAGCCATTGAGTGAGGACAGTCTGCTATCTCTCACTCTGGCGAACAGGAGGGCCAGAGCAGATTACAGTGTCTGAAGTAAACACAATGATTTTACATCTGATATACACATTTAGATTAAATATGCCACTCTCATTAATAAAATTAAGCACTGAAATTTCATGAAGTCATTATCCAGAAGTTACAATATTTTTTATATTCATTGAAATAGAAATATTTGTAGTGGGTGTGCTGCTTTTGAACACTTTTCCTGTGGAATGCTGTGGTTTAATGTTTTAACTACAGCAATGATTGCTTGACACGTGATAATTTCGCTTTAAATTGTGTTGTAAATAGCAGAACTCATGTTCTGAGAAAATATTGTTTGTGCGAATAATGATCAATAATGCACAGTTTTCCCGTCTAAGCAGATGGCTTAGCAACATCGACAGCAATGACAGACACTGAAAGACTCGCGCAGTGATCGGTCCATTGAGTAAGTCTGAGGCTGTAAAGCCTCTTCTGCACGCAGGCGCTGTTGATGTCCTGCACAGACAGACATATAACCATTTAACCGGGGTCTTCCCAATATTATGAAAAATATAACTGTATATATCTAAGGATATAATTTGAAGGAAACGGTAAGAAATGCACACTTTTATTTTTTTAAATGTTTTGTCAGTAACGCGCTGAGTCAGACAATTATTTACACTGCAAAAAATAAGGCCTATCTGTTTTCATAAAAAATAATAATAAACCATCCTAAAATATGTTTACCTTATAGGCAAAATTGCATACATTTTATTTGCTTAAAGCAGTTAAAAATAGCCTACTATTTTGCCTGGAAAAGATTGAGAATAACTCTCCTCTGAAAACAGTCTCTGAAATGTATTTTAATACAATATTGATTTATTTATTCTAAAACAAGGAAAGGATACGGAATGATTTTTAGTAATGTAATGTGACAGCACATAGTCCTTATCTCATATTGTCCTAATGTCTTGTGTTAAACATGGTATCACGTGGATGGGAATATACATGGAAAGGATATGCAGATGACGTTATGCATAGTAAAACGAGGCGTTGTAAGCTCATATATGGTTATTCCGGGTAGGAGACGCACATGAACACAATCTTCCTCTGGGTTTTATAAAGGGAATTTTGCGCAGGTTCTGGCAAAATCTAGCTTTTGTGGTTTTTGTAGCTTTCAGGATGAAATCTACAGAAGGTTTTATACATGAGGGCCCTAAAGTACCATTACATATGTTTTATAGTACTATGGTATTCTTTGAAGTACCATGGATTACCATGTAAATAACATGGTACATATACTGTATATATGGTAAGGATTTAGTAACATAGCATATATTATTAAATAGAAACAAATTAGTGGTATTATGTGAATAAGTAATTGAGATATGTATTTGACAGTAACCACTGCTCACTATTTTCTGAAAGAGAACTGAACCTCCAGATCAAAAAAACAAGCGGAAAAGGCATTGCTGTCTTTGACACATTTTTTCAGCTTTTTGTTCAAAATGTTGCTTTTTTTATTAAGCTTTCCCACATTCAAGTATTGATAAAAATAATGCATGAAACTAGAATACAATGTTTATTTATTTATTTTTTAAAGCAGAGCCTCTGTTCTTTCTTTTGATATAGCGCATGTTCAGATATTCATACAACAATTTAATCTGAGGGCCATAACCATTTTGTGAAAATGATAATAAAAAAAAGGCTGGCGGTGGCTGGCAGCTTTTTAAAAACAAAAAATGCTGGTGGGAAAACGAAGTAGTTTAATTAATATATTGTAATGTTTAGAGTAATCAATGTTTATAATCCATACAGGTGTATCGGCAGGACTGTGACACATTTGGCATGGTTGTGAAGATGTTGGTGACCAAGGATCCATCCTTGGAGAAGTCAATTCAGCTGTCTCTGCATGAAAACCTGAGGGACATCGGCATGCGCTGCATCAAGGCCATGGAGCAGTTCATCCATGAGTATGATTCCCGAGAGCTAGACACTCCATCCACCTCCCAAACACATCCCATCAAGTGACGACTGCAAACACACGGCTGAATGCAGATGCTTATTTATTAACTTCTTATTCACGCTATCCATTCAACTTTAAAAATGTGCTTTATTAACACACCTGTAGCTCTATCAGCGTTTCTTTAAAAGATTTGTAGCACTGATCCAAATGCTAAAAAGCTGTCACGATATTGACCCAGTTAATATACATTGACAATAAAATTGTTTTTTAGTACACCTTTGTATTTATTCTGTTGATAATCAGAGGCTGTGCCAGTAATCTCTAATTCCACAAAACCAGTGAGAAAAGTCAAATTTTTAATGGTCATTACCGAGATTACAAAATGTTTATGAACCCAGAGTAAAAATATATTTAAGTATGAATATATAAATCATGTTTGCATTGATGTATGCCTGCCTGTATATTGTTTGCAGACAGTAACTATAAGTACCATGTTGAGAAACAAGTCTCAAATATCAGTGGAAGATAGAGTAAAGAATAATGAATTTAGTTGTACTTAAAGTATTAAGGGAAATGTTAGTTTGGTATTAAGCTTGCTGTTGTGTCTTGAATTTTGTCTGTCTACATGTATTACAAATAAAAATTGTCTTCCACTAATCTACAGGATTTTAATAATTTTTTATTCCCCCTGTGGTGAACATCAAGTGTTTAATGTTGTGTATATGTCTATGTGGTGTTTTTAATATGCTTTAAGACAAACCATATGCAAATTCAAGTCAACACCATTGCTGATTATTTTCTCCTTAGAGGGCATCTATTATGCAAAATTCACTTTTACATGGCGTTTGAACATAAATGTGTGTTGGCAGTTTGTGTACACTACCACCCTATAATGATAAAAAATTGACTGACTCTGCTGTATTAGCATAGACCCGCCCTGAGTGAGCTAAACACAAGCCCCTCCCACGACTGTTGACTGACACTGCTGTATTAGCATAGGCCCACCCCGAGTGAGCTACACACATCCCCGCCCACGACTGTTGACTGACACTGCTGTATTAGCATAGATCCACCCTGAGTGAGCTAAACACAAGCCCCGCCCACGACTGCTGACTGACACTGCTGTATTAGCACAGACCCACCCTGAGTGAGCTAAACACAAGCCCCTCCCACGACTGTTGACTGACACTGCTGTATTAGCATAGACCCGCCCTGAGTGAGCTAAACACAAGCCCCTCCCACGACTGTTGACTGACACTGCTGTATTAGCACAGACCCACCCTGAGTGAGCTGTACACAGGCCCCGCCCATGACTGTTGACTGACACTGCTGTATTAGCATAGACCCGCCCTGAGTGAGCTAAACACAAGCCCCTCCCACGACTGTTGACTGACACTGCTGTATTAGCACAGACCCACCCTGAGTGAGCTAAACACAAGCCCCTCCCACGACTGTTGACTGACACTGCTGTATTAGCATAGACCCGCCCTGAGTGAGCTAAACACAAGCCCCGCCCACGACTGTTGACTGACACTGCTGTATTAGCATAGACCCGCCCTGAGTGAGCTAAACGCAAGCCCCGCCCACGACTGTTGACTGACACTGCTGTATTAGCATAGACCCGCCCTGAGTGAGCTAAACACAAGCCCCTCCCACGACTGTTGACTGACACTGCTGTATTAGCACAGACCCACCCTGAGTGAGCTAAACACAAGCCCCTCCCACGACTGTTGACTGACGCTGCTGTATTAGCACAGACCCACCCTGAGTGAGCTAAACACAAGCCCCCCCACGACTGTTGACTGACACTGCTGTATTAGCATAGGCCCACCCCGAGTGAGCTAGACACAAGCCCACGCCCACGACTGTTGACTGACACTGCTGTATTAGCATAGACCCGCCCTGAGTGAGCTAAACACAAGCCCCTCCCACGACTGTTGACTGACACTGCTGTATTAGCACAGACCCACCCTGAGTGAGCTAAACACAAGCCCCGCCCACGACTGTTGACTGACACTGCTGTATTAGCATAGACCCACCCTGAGTGAGCTAAACACAAGCCCCGCCCACGACTGTTGACTGACACTGCTGTATTAGCATAGACCCGCCCTGAGTGAGCTAAACACAAGCCCCGCCCACGACTGTTGACTGACACTGCTGTATTAGCATAGACCCGCCCTGAGTGAGCTAAACACAAGCCCCTCCCATGACTGTTGACTGACACTGCTGTATTAGCACAGACCCACCCTGAGTGAGCTAAACACAAGCCCCTCCCACGACTGAGGACTGACACTGCTGTATTAGCATAGACCCACCCTGAGTGAGCTAAACACAAGCCCCGCCCACGACTGTTGACTGACACTGCTGTATTAGCATAGGCCCGCCCTGAGTGACCTAAACACAAGCCCCGCCCACGACTGTTGACTGACACTGCTGTATTAGCACAGACCCACCCTGAGTGAGCTAAACACAAGCCCCTCCCACGACTGTTGACTGACACTGCTGTATTAGCATAGGCCCGCCCTGAGTGAGCTAAACACAAGCCCCTCCCACGACTGTTGACTGACACTGCTGTATTAGCATAGGCCCACCCTGAGTGAGCTAAACACAAGCCCCTCCCACGACTGTTGACTGACACTGCTGTATTAGCACAGACCCACCCTAAGTGAGCTAAACACAAGCCCCTCCCACGACTGTTGACTGACACTGCTGTATTAGCATAGGCCCGCCCTGAGTGAGCTAAACACAAGCCCCTCCCACGACTGTTGACTGACACTGCTGTATTAGCATAGGCCCACCCTGAGTGAGCTAAACACAAGCCCCTCCCACGACTGTTGACTGACACTGCTGTATTAGCACAGACCCACCCTGAGTGAGCTAAACACAAGCCCCTCCCACGACTGTTGACTGACACTGCTGTATTAGCATAGGCCCACCCCGAGTGAGCTAGACACAAGCCCACGCCCACGACTGTTGACTGACACTGCTGTATTAGCATAGACCCGCCCTGAGTGAGCTAAACACAAGCCCCTCCCACGACTGTTGACTGACACTGCTGTATTAGCACAGACCCACCCTGAGTGAGCTAAACACAAGCCCCGCCCACGACTGTTGACTGACACTGCTGTATTAGCATAGACCCGCCCTGAGTGAGCTGTACACAGGCCCCGCCCGAGACTGTTGACTGACACTGTTGCATTAGCATAGACCCACCCTGAGTGACCTAAAAACAAGCCCCGCCCACGACTGTTGACTGACACTGCTGTATTAGCATATCCCCGCCCTGAGTGAGCTAAACACAACCCCGCCCACGACTGTTGACTGACACTGCTGTATTAGCATATCCCCACCCTGAGTGAGCTAAACACAAGCCCCTCCCACGACTGTTGACTGACACTGCTGTATTAGCATAGGCCCGCCCTGAGTGACCTAAACACAAGCCCCGCCCACGACTGTTGACTGACACTGCTGTATTAGCATATCCCCGCCCTGAGTGAGCTAAACACAGGCCCCGCCCACGACTGTTGACTGACACTGCTGTATTAGCATATCCCCGCCCTGAGTGAGCTAAACACAGGCCCCGCCCACGACTGTTGACTGACACTGCTGTATTAGCATAGGCCCGCCCTGAGTGAGCTAAACACAAGCCCCGCCCACGACTGTTGACTGACACTGCTGTATTAGCATAGGCCCACCCTGAGTGACCTAAACACAAGCCCCGCCCACGACTGTTGACTGACACTGCTGTATTAGCATAGGCCCACCCTGAGTGAGCTAAACACAAGCCCCTCCCACGACTGTTGACTGACACTGCTGTATTAGCATATCCCCGCCCTGAGTGAGCTAAACACAGGCCCCGCCCACGACTGTTGACTGACACTGCTGTATTAGCATAGGCCCACCCTGAGTGAGCTAAACACAAGCCCCTCCCACGACTGTTGACTGACACTGCTGTATTAGCATATCCCCGCCCTGAATGAGCTAAACACAGGCCCCGCCCACGACTGTTGACTGACACTGCTGTATTAGCATAGGCCCGCCCTGAGTGAGCTAAACACAAGCCCCGCCCACGACTGTTGACTGACACTGCTGTATTAGCATAGGCCCACCCTGAGTGAGCTAAACACAAGCCCCGCCCACGACTGTTGACTGACACTGCTGTATTAGCATAGGCCCACCCTGAGTGGTCCGTGATCCAGCCTAGTGATCCACGGCAGAAGTGAAAGCGCACACTTTATGACAGCTCATGGTGATCATGAAAGGGAGAGAGAGAGTTTATGGATACGACTTCAAACTTCTTGTACTGTTTTATTCAGCTCTTACAGTGATTTTCTGGAGTAAAACTAACACTTCTTTTTTTATGTGATGTACAATAAACTTCATTAAACTCATCAGTATATGTTTGGCCATCATACAGGCCAAACATTTACATTGTAGTAATAGTGGATAAAAGCAAGATGAAAAATAAGTTATAACCGTAATTAAACTAGACTATACCTGTTCTATTTCCATACAGCATATACTCTCTGGCTCTGTGGGGATTATTGTCCGACTCCGGGTGGAAATGAACACCGCTACTGAGAGTTTCTGTTCTGATATTCTCATTCGCTGAGATGAGATTGTCCTGCCACTGGAGCGAGCTCTTGAAGCTCCGCCCTCTGTGCCGGCGGGAACAGCTCATTTGCATTTAAAGGGATACACAATAAAGCAGCACGTGTTTCTGAGCCCCAAAAAGTGACAATTTAAACTTATTTTAAGACAAATTAAATCCTAACCCTAACCCATGCTGTAAAAAAATATCTGTTGGGTATTTTGAGCTAAAACTTCACATACACACTCTGGGGACATAAGAGACTTATTTTACATCTTGTGAAAAGGGGTGCCCTTTAAAACTGCAGTGAAAGAAAGACTCTCAAAAACACTGTTTAAAATTGCTGGTGTTTCTGACGTCACAAACTACCTGGCAACCAATCAGATCAACGTGCCGGCGGCCTTAAGCATATCATTAACAGCGAACTAGCAGGGGAGGTTATTCTGTTGACATGAAGAAAAAAAAAACGGGTAGATTTAGCAATATAGCGGGTGAATTATCTATATGATGTATATTACGATGTTATGATGACTTATGCTTTTCTTCAAAAGCATTTCTAAGGATGCTGATGTTTAGAAGGCAGCTGTCCGACTCTGAGATGGCGCACCAGAGCATGGTTTGTGTAACATTAGCAACACCTGATTAGATGTTTGATAACGTAGTCAAGCTAAAGGTTAATTATATTAATTACCGTTGTGTGTCCGACATTGTAGAGAGCGATACACAAATAAACACATTACCATTCTGATATATCGACTTGTAGACGAGCCTGTGTAATTCACTCTTCCACTACTTTTTCTGAATCAGTGTCTGGTTCTAACATGAATGGCTGAATTAAACCAGTATTTCCAGTAAAGTTGAGTGAGTGGATCTCTGATGTAAACACATCAGAGTGGTGAGAGTGTGGATGTGAACAGGGTGTGAGTGAGTGGAGGTGGGGCTAATTTGCATATTCATAGAGACTTTAAGATTGTTAAAAAAAATTCAGAGGAGAGGATTATCTGAAACTGAAGGGATTTTAAAAAGTACAAAATAAGTAATTTACACCCTAGCTCAGATTATATTTCAGAAAATATAATATAAAATAGTATTTTTAAAAGATCACAATGATATTAATCTGAAGCTTAATTAAAGGCTTTGTTTGTTTGTTGAAATAGTTATTTAATTCACATACAAGACATGAACGGGGGATACACATGCAGTCACCATTGGTTTCTACACTCTATAATATGATACAAATTATGCATCTGAAGATACAAAATATAGAAATATTTAAGACAATATTTACAGAACCTTTACAATACTACATTATTTTTATATATTGTTTTAATCATTAAGAAAACATTCAATTTTAAGATATTATTTGTAAATGACTTTGGAAAGACAGAATATTGCATTTAAAACCATAACCAACATTGCCCAACAAAATGATAAACATTTTATAAAGTTTAATTTTAGAATGACATTAATTAAACAAGTTGAAAACCATGAAGAGCGCATATTAGGAAACTACTGTATTTAGAACAATTAACAGTAAGCAGCAAGGGGATTATAGAAAACCGTATTGCCACTAAATTATAACAAAAATTAAGGGAAAAAGAAAGGGGAGAGTGTAGACTTGACTAGAATTATACTTACAACCAAGAAAATCTAAAAACAGATAAGAAAATGGTTGTAACTAGATTTTTGATGCACTGAGTTTATGGAATGTGCTGAGCAGTAATCCCAAATTTTTTCAAGAGTAACGCAAATTAATTTAAGAGTAAGTTAAAAATCAATATTCTAATTCTAAAGGTTAAGTGCACACTGAGTCGTCACTTCTTTGCTTCTCCTGAAATTAAGTTATATAGCAGATTGTTATTGCACAGGTTTCTACAAAACAAAATTCATATGCTTAGCAATAGATAAAATTCAATGTACAATTCCAATAAATAGAAATGAATACATTTGATCATTGTGCAATCTCCAGTCACAGTAAACACATGATTTCAGATCAGAACACATTACCTACAGTGTTACTTATGCAATGACTGAAACATGCCTGAATTGGATTTCAACCCATAGTTGGATATTTAGGAAAAAAAATACAATACACAACAGAAGTGAGTACACCCCGTGAAATAACACTTAACTGTCAAATGAATAGAAATGTTATCACCTCTTGATAACTATATTATTTCTGCATTATTTCTAAATTTTGACAAAGAGTATTGATTATATACACACACACACACACTCACGTCATCTGTCATCATTGATATTTCTGAACCTAATATTTCGAAATAACCTAATTGCATTAACGTTGTTTTAAAATTACCTGTGAACACCAAACCTTTCTCAATTTTGGACTTGTCATCCTAAAACCGGGTTGTCCAATTCTGTTCCCAGAGGATCACCTTTCAGCAGAGTTTAGCTCCAGCCCTATCTAAACACACCTGAATCACCTAATCAACATCTTTAGGATTACTACAAACTTCCAGGCAGGAGCAAAATTTGCATTATGTTGGCCCTCCAGAAGCAGAATTGGACACCCCTATCTTAAAATTACTTGTATAATCTAGTTCTGAAAAGCAGAAGGGCAAGTGCTTTAGACATGTAAATGGGGTTATAAATGGAAATCAGGCTTTCTGTGGCAGCTCAAGGACATTGTATGGTATCAACCTCTATGGACAAATCCTTGCATACCCTTCAGAACAAAAAAGCAAGATTGGAAGACGTTGGGCAAAAGAAGAATATTTCAGCATGATAGCGATCCACAGTACACTGGCAAAACCATGCAAGATTCTAAAGTTGTAAAAAATGACCTAGCAAAGTGTGTTGCCTGACTTCTAATGGAACCCCTTTGGGTTATTTTAAAGAGAAATGTAGAGCAACTCAACCCTTTCCAGCAAAGAGCATCTGAAAAAAAATCTCTCCAGAAACACTGGTGTCCTCCATGCTGAAAAAGATTGAGACTTTATCAAAAATAAAGGTGGACATCAAATTAAGGAAAAAAAAAAAGATTCCCGGTAATAAAAGGTGTACTTGGATCAAGTTCTTTCTGTGGAGCCTGTATGTTTAAAATAGTACATCTAAACGGTTAATATTACACAAGAGGAAATACCTCTATGTTCAACTAAACAAGTAACACAATTACTGGAAGGTGATAGAATTTTGAATTATTTGACAATTAAATGATGATGTACAGGTGTCTACTCACTTCTCACATACTCACTTCACCCACTCTCACATACACACACTCAGATACTCACATTACCAATTGCTTATGATATGATGCAGTTCTTGCTCTTTCGCCGTTTGCGTGTATGTAATTGGGTGTGACCACCCGTCAATGTAGGACTATAACGATGTCGCAATTCCTCATTGTCAAAGTATCGGAGCTGCACTGGCCGTGGAATGACTTCACCCATAAGGTAACCATCATCATCAGACACCTCTGAAGAAGAGGAACAGGTTGAGCAAAACTGATCTTCATCATCAGCTGTTTCTCCATACCTACCCATAAACTGTCCAATTTGTGGACCTCCAGGATCCTGCAAGGTGAGGTCCGATGTGGTTCGAGGGCATGGCCTAAAGAACTGTTGTCGATACCCATAGTTAGCTCCAAAGAGATTGTGTGACATTCTTGATGAGGATGGTCGCTCAAAGTCATTGTGAAACCTATGAATGGGGTCCCCAGGGAAACTCTGATTTTCTGTAGCTAAATGCAGGGCATTGTCTGACCGAGAGCGGCGGGAGCGATAGTGATATTTATGACCTTTGTGACTCTTGTGGTGGTGACGTTGTCGCTGACGCTGCTGTCTGGGAGAGTCTTGTGTTTGAGGACGTCTTGGCCGTGGTGTCATTGCTTGGGCATTGCCTTCTTGCATACAGGACATGCTTCCTGCAAGACCAATGTGACCTTTGACTGGATCCTCAAAACTTATCCCTCTGTGCGAATCCCAGTATAGTGGAGGAGGGTACCTTACTCTGACAGGCATGCCAATATCAGCAAGGGGTCTTGGGACAGAGCTCAGGGATTCAGTGCTGCGGAACTGCATTGGTGAGTTTAAAGTACCCATGGTGCCTTTATCAGACACAATTACCCCAGAGTCTTTACTCAGGTCAGGCATAGAAAATCGAGAGAAGTGCTCCTGACGCCTGTTAGTCCCGTCTAAGGAGTTTCCTGCTGAAGACAAACAATGGGCAGAGATCAGATATAGGTACACCATGTGAAATGTGTTAAGTTTGAATGAACCAACTCATCTCTTCTTTTGAACATACCCCTGTCAGGCAGGGATATGGAGTATCATGCTATTTGTAAGATCAGAAATAGGGTACACCATGTGAAATGTGTGACAGTTGAATGAGCCATTCTTCTCTTGTTTTGATCATATCCCTGTCAATTAGTGAAATGAAGTATCATGGTATTTGTATTTGTATTTGAACTGAATTTAAGCTCACCTGTAGTGCATGAAAGGGCCAGTGAGTCAGCAGAACCTCTTGGTGTTTGTTCTAGTGGTGTAAGTTCACCAAAGCTTGGCCCAAATTGGTGCCTGCTCCTCAGCAATGGAGGACGCATCTCTCGGGGGAAACCTTGCACACTGATACTGCGCTTGTCCAAAAATCCAGAATTACGGCTTGATACCTCATTGAAGCTCATTTGTGTTTTGAGCTTAGGAGCATGAAATTCAGGTTCTTGGCCATGATGCATCCAGTTTTCATTGAAAGAGTGCCCCCTCAGAGCAGCAATGACTGGAGGCTTTTTGGGATTACCCCCAGGTGGTTCTTTGGACCAAGACTCAGGACTGCTCACTATCTTGGCTGGCTGATTGGGAGAAGGAGGGTAAGCGGTACGAATGCTACATTGGCTTCGTAGCTGATGGGGATTTGGAGATGTGGAGGAATCTCTTTGTTGAGACTCATAGGAGTAAGGCTCATCCCGGTTTACCCAAACTGGCTGCTTGCGGTTGAGACTTGGAGACCGACTTTTGGTTCTACTTGGGGTTCTTGTTGGTGTGCGATGGGGAGTGCGGCTTGGTGCTGGGCTTGAGATGCTCAGCAAATCCATTTGAACAGCTAGAGGCTCCGCATCACCAGCTAATTGTGTAGGGCCAGATGATGTTTGTCGGACACCTTCACCCTTCCCTTTTGTCCCATCCTTGCCAATCTGACCACTGTGGTGTGACTGTCGGGAACGGGCACTCTGGAAAGCAGAGTCTGAGGAGTCCGACAGCTCAGGCTCATCCCCTTGGCTGCAGAGACGGGAACAGTAGATCAAACCTTGTTTCGGCAAGAAGGGACGACCCAGCAAAGACTGATTGCAGCGGGCACAGCTGAAACACTCTTCAGTGGCATGCCAGTGTTGACCTTCATATGCCATCTGACCTTGGTCTATACCTAAAACACATAACAGACAAAAGACAATAACCATCTTTATTTATTTATTTTTTGCTAATTACGACTTCAAATGTAGTGTGTGGAAAATTAGTATTGGTATTTCAAAATTAACCACAAAAATTACACCCAAAGAAGAAATTACATTTTGCATACAGAAAATGATGCCATCTGTGGCCACTATATTATGCCACCAGAACCACTGGGGTGGTCACTGACATTTTTAGGGTGTACTCAAGGACTACTCAAGTTCAGAGGCCAAGAGGGCCACATTTAACCCTCTGGGGTCTGAGGTGTTTTCGGGGTCCTTGAGATGTTTTGGCATGCTCTGACATTTCTGCTTTTTCAGTTGCTTATAAACATATTAATGGCACAGGTGAAATTACACTCTATATAGCACAGACAGGGCTACCATAATATGTGAGCAACATGTATGTACAAGTTTGTATTTTTGAGAGAATATTGTTTATGCGTGGTTATTGAAAAAACTAAAAAATAAAGTTTCTAATATAAGGCCACAAATAACATACTAAATATCTGTCCACAAGACTTTTGACAAGTGGATGTTGTTGCCTAGAGTTTTTGCTTCAAATTGATCTGAAAATCATTCTGCCTCATCATTCACATAAAACAATAGATTGTTTTAAATTGTGAAAAACATTTTTTGTTTGCAAAGGCAATATGCGGATGGGCGTGAACGACCCAACCCCCTCATGAATAATTAGGCAGTTCTCACCTGAGCAGACTGCATACTAATGAGCCTTTCATTCAGGGGTGTCACACAAGAAAGAATGCAAGGACAATATATATATATATAAATAAATAAATATTTATACACACACACACATATATATATATATATATATATATATATATATATATATATATATATACAAACAATCAAAATATAAATGAAAGCCAAAAGCACATTTTTAGTCACCTTTTAGCCATCCACATACCATTTTTAGCCATCCACCACGGTAAAAATAAACCAGTTGCATTTCAAAGTCGTTCGCGAAATGATCGCCAGGTGGCGCAAAGGGACATTTAGCAAAATGTAAGTGGGGCTAATGTCTGTAGCCTAAGGATGAAATACTACAAGTTATGGTAATTTCCAAATAAGCCAACAACAAACATTTATAGCCTACTCCGTAATTGTTGGTCATACAGATAATATATAATCTTTTAAAACTGTAAAAGGCTAAAGTATAGGCCTACACTCACAGGCTAAAGACAAAACGTTTTCTCGCTCATGTGAGAAACAAACGTTCGGGTATTTCTCAGTGAGAAAATTCATAGCCGAGCGGTAGAACTTACGGTTCATCATCAAGATGACGCGGGTTCAAATCCCGCACAAGCCTGGTCTGTTGTAAGTTTTATATTTATTTAGATTTGTCTAGCTCTAAAACTCTGTTACACCATACAGTTTTTTTGCTTATATAAATAAAATACAATTATCATGCATTTCCATTTTACACACAAAATAGTACCCAACAGAACGACTTTGCATCTGTATAATAATAGGCTACCAATCGTAATTTCAAAAGCAGTTCTGTAATAAATAAATTATATATAGCCTATATATACTATATATATTTTTTTTTCAGGGCTGCCAACTCTCACGCACTGAGCGTGAGACTCACGCAATTGACCCAAATCTCACGCTCTCACGCCACACCCCCGATTTCTCCCGCTGAAGTGTCAACCCGGTCGGTCAAATTCCTGAAAGATATAGTTTATCTATAGATCTACCTGTTGAGCCACTCGTGATCGACTAGTTATACCGCAAATTAGTTAAAATATCCCGTAATCTATCTAGAGCGAGCGTGCATGCGAGACAGATATTGTGCTCCAAACCGTGCGCGCGCATGGCAGAGAGGTCTGTTCCCTACAACCTAGAGTTTTAAAAAACATGGTTTTAAGTAAAGTGTGATTTGCCAGGGGGTATTGGGATTTCCTTCTGGTCTAAACATCCCTGCTTCTGCTGAATTATTTTAATCCCCACACCCCTCCCTCCACAGCTAATCAATGCTATAGGCTACTTCACCAATATCAAATATAAAATAGAGATATGCAACAGGCATGTTTAAACGACAAACAATAAAATCAAAACCAGCGTTTCAGTTGTTCATTAGTTCCAGTGGCCCTAATGCATGCCCGGCTTTTCAAAATTTCACAAAGCGTGTTGATGAGATTATTTTGAATGAAATATTGAAGTTTATAATTAAGTGTTTTGGCACACCACGCCGAGTGGCCCTATGCATTTTTCTAAAGTCGGGTTTTATTCTGGCATGGTGAGTTAGTGTTCGACAAACGCGGCGGCGCGTTCATTTAGATTAATTTATTTTTCTCATTATTACAGCTAAAATAACTTAATAGGCGACTCCGTAATTTTTTGGTCATACAGATAAGAGTAGAGTAGCTTACATCGTTCAAAACTGTAAACTTGTATTCATATTAGGCTAAGTTAGCCTGGCTAACGAAAAAACAGTATCTGTCGTCTCTGTCTCCGGGAACTGCGCGTCACAAAAATGAACCGAAAGCCACTTCAGCTCAGTCACGATAAGAAATCGGCGATGTCTAAAGCCTTTAAATGTCTAAATATTTAGGCTAATAAATGTTATCTGATTATGTAGGCTAATCCTTATGAAAACGAGAGGTACAGAGGATCTACTCAAACATGTAATGGAAGCGCTTCCCAATGAGAAAATGACAAGACAAGAGTGAAAATCTCGCTCTTATTAAATGTAGGCTAAATCGCCCTGAATTAAAATGTAAAAACAGATCAAATAATGTATTTGTCGAAATGTTGCGATATTGTTTCATTTAAGTTCATAATTATTCTATAAATGTTATTTAATTTAGCAGCATTACCACGAAGCACCGTGTTTCGATATTTATTTGAATAATACAAAATAAAAAAAAAACTTAATTCACAAATTGCATGCCTGGTTGTAAGGATCCAAAGATCCCTGTAGACTTTAATATTGATTTGAACATTTTGTTCATGACAACAAATTAACATGTGATTTTTCAGATTATATTTAGTTTTGCTTGGAAAAAGCTGGCCCAAACCAGTTTTATTTCATCAGTTATTGAAATAATGAAATAATTAGTAATAAACTTTTATGACAGAAATATCACTAGGCTACATGTAACTTAAATCATTTAATTCCTTCATTATCAACACTGTCTAGAATAGCGATTTAAGTGTGAATTGCGACTTCTCTTTGTGTTAAGTCAGCCTCAGACTCCGATAGCCTGTGGGGGGTTGGAGGGACATTGCTGGACAAAGGTGTTAATGTTCCTCCTTCATATGGAGAGTGTCGGATAGCCAGCCTGATGAGCAGGCAAAATTATTGTAAGGATAAATCTGTGTCCAAATGTAGGCCCCATATCTTATTAAATTATAAATATTGTAGTTTATTTATTGTAGCCTATTTAAAGTTTTTTTCACACAAAATTTCAATTGAAGTTATTGTAAGGTGAATTCAACAAGGCGTGCTGTGTCTTTGAAGCAACAATTAAAGGCTAAATAATTTTTTCGTGATTTGTATGGCTGACACGCAGCGACATATACAGTATTATTGAATTGAATTGAATTTATTGTTGAGGATAACCCCTTGAGATGAAACATCTCGTTTTCGAGGGGGTCCTCGAGACAAAGACAAAGATAATGCAGCACATATACATTCACTCACACTAAAGCTCTACCTCATCCCGCCTCGCCCGACCCACCAACTCCTTATTGGAAACAAATCCATGAGTAAAACATATTGCAGTATTAAGATGCATAACAACATTTAGCCCTGGCTTACATACACATATGTCTATACAAACATATATACAAACATCATGTATACACGTACCTACACCCATACTCGCATAAGTACACATAATAAAAAAAATAATAAAAAAAAAATTAAAAAAAATACGTATCCCAGATATAAAGGGTATAAAAAACAAAAGTCCAGTCACGCATGAGGAAAACATTTACAGCAACAGTTTGCTTGCAAGTAAGTAAAGAGAGATATTTTGAAGGAACACAATGATGTGACAGATCTTAGAGACCCAGGCAGGCTATTCCAGTCTGAGGGGGCTTTGAATTTAAAGGCACGTCTACCACTCTCTTTGGAGATATTTGGCACAATGAAGGAGAGATATTCAGTGTGTCTCAATCTATAGCTGGGTCTATATGGAAGTAAATATTCCTTCAGGTAAGAAGGATAATTATAATACACACATTTAAAAATGACCTGATACCAGTGATACTGTCTTCTGGCTTTTGGTGATAATAAGTTCAGTGAGTCATACATTACACAGTGGTGAGTAGTAAAAGGACATCTCAGCACAAATCTACATATATTATTGAAAACAACATTCAATGCCTTCAAATTTGATTCTGATGTGTTTTGATAGACAATGTCCGCATAGTCTAATATATGAAATATTAACTGTGACACAATTCTTAGTCTAATCAGTTGAGTGAAACAGTTAATAGAGCGATACAATATTCGTAAATTACAATTAATCTTTTTAACAACAGAGTTGATATGACACCTAAAGGAGAGTTGTGAGTCAAGCCAAAGGCCCAAATATTTAAGTTCATCAACTTGTACAAGTTGAGTATCGTCTAGGAATTTGAGTAAAAGTTTGTTATCTTGATTCATTGAAGCTGATCTGGTGGAGAACAATATGCTATATGACTTTTTCTTATTCAATAGAAGATGATTGGATTGGAACCAAAGTTGAATGGCATAAAAATTAGATTGCAATGAGGATTGAATCTTAGAGACAGACACATTAGATGTGTAGATCGCTGTGTCGTCTGCATATAGATGGATACAACAGTCTGAGCAAATTAGAGGAAGATCATTGATAAATAAAGAAAATAGAAGAGGCCCTAAGGAAGAGCCTTGAGGGACACCTTTGTCCATTATTAAGGACTGTGATACGCAACCACAAAAAGAAACACGCTGTCGTCTACAGTGGAGGTAGGAATT